TAAGGTGAGAGAATGATATTTAATTTATAAATCTTATTTATGAGGATTATTAATGGATGAACAAACTTAAAACTTAGCATCAACCAACACTTATAAACTTGCTTTTTCATTATTGACATAAAAATTTGAATTTGAAATTTCTTAAATAATTTATTGAGTTTGAATATCATAAATAAAGAAACAAATGTTATAAGAGTTTTCATTTTTATTAAGCCTAACATGACTCGACTTTCTTATTAAGTCTAACATGACTAAACTCCAAATCAATTAAGATCCAATATAATTTTTAAATATCGATAATTAATATTAAATAAATAAAAATTTAAATTTTTTATTTTACAATTTGAACTGTATCTAAAATTATGGTGTAGTTTGGTGCAATATAAAGACTACACAATATTTTTCTTAAAAATTTTATATTCTAAAGCATTTAAAGTGACTTCTAACTCTTTGTTTTTCCTTTTTTTTTTTTTTTAATGTTCTCATAATTTTTGTTTTACTACAATTTAAAGCAGGAAATTTTTAAAAGAATACAAAAATGTTAGTATGTAATTTAGAATGCAGAATTTAAACCACCGGCCTCTTGATTTGGGACTATTTTTAATCTACTAATCATATTTTACATTTAAGTGTAATTTTAACAATAAAATTAATTTCTTTTAAACAAAAAACCCCTTCAATTGAGGGCCAAGAGAAAAAAATCCTTTAGTAAAAATATATAAAATATATTTTTGCCACTTTTCAATATTCGTATTAATATTTTAAACTGCAAAATTTTCTTATGTCTTTTTCTTCTTCTTTTTTTTTTACTGTACTGTAAGCAAAAGCAAATTAGAAAATAATAATAATAATAATAATAATAATAATAATAATAATAATAATAATAATAATAATAATAATGGCGGCAAAATATCGGAATCACCGACTATCATGCCTCACAGTCTTTTATATATATATAAAGTATTTATTTAGAACAATACAATAAATAATTTCTGGAGACCGACGCAAGAGTAGTAATAAATAAATAATTGCAAAATTAGGAAATAAGGATTAGCTTCCCCGAGTTTGCCACAGAACTCCACTTTTTCGCCGATTCTCTCCCTCTAGGGTTTCCGACGAGGTCATAAATTCTTAGCTCTGGTTCCTTTTCCTTCCCTTCTCCTTTTCCTCCTCCAAAGCTCTCACCTTTCCGTCATTATTTCATTCATCGCCATTCTTTACAATTGAATTCCACCATTTCCGTCTTTTTAGATTTCTGAAACTGAAGAAAATAAACAATCGGATTCTTCAAAAGACGATTCTCAAAAGCAAAGAAGACTCACCTGTTTTTCGGCAGACTCAGGTATAAGTACTAATCATCTGAATATTTTTTCATTATTTCTAGTTCTTACTTTGCTTCTGCTACTGTTTCTATTTATTCGATTTTGAATTTTGATCGAAACTTCTGCTACTGTTTTTTCATCATGTTTTTTGATTTTTTGTTTGTGTTTGTGCGATCGTTGGATTCTGTTTGTGTTCTTATTTGATTCGTTTAAAGGTATTTTGTGAATCGAACAATCATGTTTATGAATTTCTCTTTTTCTAATCTGACCGATGATTTCATTTCCCAAAAATAGAGAAGGGAAGAAGCTTCTCTCACTTTTTTTTGCAGTTGATTTTGATCAAATAAGAAGCTATCGTTCAATCAGTTGATTTAGCAAAATCGGATTAAGTGCTCTGAACAATTATTCGGTTTGGTGGAGATTTTTAATTGATTTTGTCTGATAATATGTCTAAAATTACTAAAATTTATTTTCAAAAAAGTGAAGCTGGATATCTATCTTTCCTCTTGCTTGTTGAGTGGTAGGTTTAGAATCCAAAACTTTTATTTGATCTTTATTTTCTAAAAATAAAATCTTAAATAAAAACCGTTCTTAATGACAATAATTGTTGGGCGATCCAAACAAACAAGAAAAATTTGTTGTGATTCTTAATTATAAAATAAAGTAAAATTGTGCTGTATCAGCTTGAAATCAGTTTTAGATTGAGATTTTAGTCTCTTCTCTGCAGAATTCAATAATTTTGCTGGGTTTCTATTTTAATTTTGAACACCCCATGAATTTTTTGTTTGGTCTGTTACCTTTTGGGTTTTTTATAAATTTTGTTCGACTTTGCTTGTTTTGAAGTTTTGATAAATAAAGTTTTGATACTGTGTCAGGAATTCAAGTTTAGAAGAAGAATTTTAACCGATTTGGTAGGCATCGTTTGTAAGAATGGCAACTGATCGGGATGGCTCGAACGGCCTTAATCACGACGTGTTATTAGAGATTACGACACGTTTGGACGATCCATCTGATATTGGTAGTGTCTTTTCTGCCGTCCCCGGTCTGTTAAATGGGGGTGAGTTGAAACAACTTGATGTATTCAGAGACTCAATTCTTGTTTTGATTATCAATTTTGTGGAACAGTTCCATCTGGTTGCTGACATACGACTTTAGTTAGTATTTTTGTTCCCGTGAAATTCATTGTAATCTGTTGTGCTGTTTTCAATCATTGAGGACATTATATTTGTGGTGTGTTTTGAAGGTAACGGTTCTTCATAAGCAAAATAATCAATCCTTTGATTGCTCTTTCATGGAATTTCAGAAATTTTAGCTTGGATTATGGATTATTGAATTGCCTTTTGCCACTGGTAGAAGAGTAATGGTCATAAGCACCATAGTTCTTTTATGGTTATATGTTTGACTATTTACAGCAATGAATTAATAACATGGTTGTATATGGTTTCCAGCGATTGATAATCATTTTGCCAAGACTTGGTGCTTGAAAAAGTTTCCTCAATTATCTAGAGTTGATCATGTTGTTGAAGATTGCTGCATCCCAAGAAAACTTCAGGTGGAAGCTGGATCTGGTAACATGGAACGGGAAACTTTGAAGGGAGAGCACAGAGTCTATTCCCTTCTGGCTCGAGGTTGTATGTCTTCTGCTGAACTAAAAGACTGCATCGCAAGAGCAATTATGGCTTCAAGCACTGATCATTATCCATTGGAAAGCATAGAAAACACTTTGGAAGAAGGAGTGGCATGGAGACCTTCATACTGGTCAAGTGAAGGTCAAATTAGCCCTGCAGTCCCTGAAACGCTAACTTACAAATTGGTAGCTGATTTGTGCGTTATTACTGAAATCAGAATAAGACCCTTCCAAGGTAACTGTTCTAAATTTTTGAAAGTTCAGCTACTTTTTCACGTTTTTATCTACCTTGTAAATTTCCTTCCATTTTGGGTCCAGCTAATTTCGAGCCAGGTTCACCAATATTTTCTGCAAAATCTGTACTATTCCGAATGGGTCATTCTCTGGGTGACGATTATGTGTGGACTTACATTTCAGAACAGTTTCCAATGGATCAGGTGAGTTCAAGTAGCTCAATTGGTTCTTTTCATGTCACTTAATTGACTTCATCTTTTCGTTGTGCTATTAAAGATGAAAATTAATACAATGAAATCTTGTATTTTGCAGCACTGATTGAAATGGATTACTATTTCTCAGTTAGTTGTGAAAGGTTCCTTTCCACTTTTTGATTGTAAACT